GGGACAACGCGCGCAGAGGAGGCACTGAGACTCAGCGACTGAGTGCACAATGACTCAAAGATGCTATTAGGAACCAAATTGGAGCGTGGACAGCGACGGCCATGCCCCAAAAGTAGACAAGGATCCTTCCGAGTAAAAAGCGGGTCGAAGACCCGCGTATAACCTCCTTAATCATCCCTCTAGCGGTTTGCCCACGTTCGATCCGTAAACTGCCCATCATGGGCAGCCCATGTCGGGGCCGCCGGTCGCGCTCGAGACTCTCGAGCGAGCGAGTCGAGTCGAGAAGATGATGACAAGATGGCAAGAATTCGCAATGTGCGTGGAAAAGATAACGGCGGCTGGCGCTCGGCGCACTTTCCGTGAGGGTATTTCACAAATTGACATTTAGAATTGCAGCATTGTAATGTGATAGGATATATACAAGTAAGTATGATAACCAGTCAAATTACCGTGCCCTCCCATTGTGTTGCTTGTTGTTGGTGACAACTTACATCTACAATGTCTGGATGGAGTGTATCTCTCAGAACTAACGTTCTCAGTAGTTCGGTGGAATTTCCATACAGTTGAACTCGCATTAGTGTCACCACCGGTCGACTTGAATTGAACGCAATTTTGTGTAGTACATTTCACGCCGATAGAGTGTGTCAAGATTGGACTGTTTTCCACAAGTTTTCTGTTTTCCTTGTTTTCGACAAGGAGGGAACGACTGTTGTACCAATACTTAGCCGCACATTCGTTGCCTCCTTTTCAAGAATCACCGATACAACAACTATTCTGAGAAAGGCCTATTCCAGTTGATGTTCTGTCTTGCATGAATCACTATCGACTCTTGGGCAAAAAAGGTGAGGGGACATTTTCTGAGGTCCTCCTAGGTCGCCACGTAAGAAGCAATCAAGAAGTAAGTATCACAATAACTCTCCTCAACAGAAGAGCTCTCTTCCTTCCAGGTTGCCATAAAGTACTTGAAAAATAAATTTCATTCAATCGATGCTGTGAACTCCTTCAACGAGATCAGAGCCTTGCGAATGCTCAGGGGTATTTCCTACGGCTTGCGAGTGTCAATGGTCGATGAGCTTTCATTAGATCATCCGAACATCGTGAGATTACTAGACGTCTTGTATGACATCACCACGGGCAGTTTGGCGCTAGTGTTGGAATTGATGGACATGAACGTTTATGAGGCGATAAAAGGGAGAAAGTGAACCAAGCTGCGGAAGGGGTTCACATCAAATTCACAAGATACTATTTTCCGGAGCTCCGTGTGGGTCGGTGGATGACGCAGTTGCTCTGCGCTGTAGAATTTCTACATGGAAAAGGGCTCTTCCACAGGCGAGATCTTGGCAGGAAATGGTTCCAATGAAGTATCAGTTTCAGAGATATCAAACCGGAGAACCTATTATTACACCAATACGAAACGTTGAAATTGGCAGATCTTGGAAGTTGCAAAGGTGTGAATGAATCGTTTTTCGATCACATCTTTAACAAAGGTATTGACTGTAAGCAGCCCTTCACTGAGTACATCTCGACACGATGGTATCGGGCACCTGAGTGTCTCCTTACGGACGGGTATTATTCAGCAGGGATGGACATATGGGCGTAATAAAGTGGAAGCTGCAGGGATCGAACTCGGGCCGAATGGGTGGAAGCGGAGGATGCTATCCTTCTCAGCATTGGCTGCGTTTATTTCGAAGTGCTCTCTTTGGTGCCGCTCTTCCCGGGCAAAAATGAAGTTGACCAAGTGAATAAAATTCACAAGGTAAGTGCTAGTACTTGTTGGAGGGGGAAGAGCATCATCCGTATGGCGATCGCTTATATCGTGTTTTGTATCAACTGTCTCGAAGTTGATCACCTCACTCGAAGGTCATGGGCTTACCCGCGGAAGACTTACTCAAGTATTTCAAGAGATCCTCCAAATCAAATAGTGGCAGAGGGAACAGATCGTTGAGGTTTATGGCAAGAAGGTGTCCAAGAAGGAGCCGCAGCAGAAGTAGCGAACAGACGGAAAGCAATTCGGTGTTATGGTCACGGACAGGCGAAATCGACTTGTGGTTACGCAAATGCAAAGTGTCCGATGAGGCTATAGAGATCATCAAAGTGCTGCTAACCTACGATGCCGAGCAAAGGCCTACAGCGACTGAGGTGATCCTGTTGTTGACTTTTATATTATGAGCATTTTGCTGTAGGCACTCAGACTGCCATATTTCGACTCTCACCGTTATGCAGTGCCGGGTAATCGATCGTGGATTTCCGTAGTGTCAAGTTTTGCAGGTATGACCACGTCTACATGTTCCACTAATACGGTGCGGTCCCCATCTCCCTTTCTCGACACCACAGAGAGAAGTAACGGGAAAGTCAGTGCCGTTGTTGGAGTATCCTCTTCGTAGATGACACTGAAAGGCCTTCGAAAGGACAAGTGCCGAGCTCGGATGTTATACAGGATAGCAGTATGTCGGAGACCTCAGGAAGCACGGCTCGTTACCAACCTCGAATAGGGTATGATAATCTACCAATCTCTGTGATAGTATGTCTTTGTTAGGCCTGAGGCTCATCGTGGATATGATCAACGAGATCATGCCACCATCGGGGGTCGATTGATGCGTGAAAGCGATCGCTTGTTGGTTGAGGCGGACGCAACTGTGACGAGCGGATTTGGGAGACAAAATGGTATGCGAATGGAGCAGATCTCGGAGACGACTCGGTTACCACCAATACCACAACGGCAGCCTCAGGAGGTCGGTCCTGGTAGGTGCTGTTCTTCAAGTATTAACCCGCTTACCTTCAGAGCGGGCATTCGAGAGCAATGGGTATTGGCATTGACGCAAGTCCTTATCAGCAGCGGCATCACCGGAGGAGCAATCGAGTGTAGGGTTGGATCTCTCATCTCGTTACATGCTTATGACAGGTACCATAGAACGTTGCGTGTCGCGCCCGGTAGAGTTCAGATGCCAGCGTTGGAGCTCTCGAATAGTAGTCCGAGAGAAACCAATCAGCAAGGCTCGGCGGCCTCGTTCAGCCATACGATGGGGCACTTCGCTCTACCATTGTCGGGAAGGATGAGGAATATTGTCCGCGCGGGGTATTCATAACTTGTCTGTTGCCGTAGCGTATCGTTGATACACTTATCGTTGTTGTACCATTGGCTTCAGCCTATTGTTGGTTCACCATCATGCAGTTGTTGGTCATGAATGTACTCCACTGTTGCGTTGAGAATTATCACCATCGCAGACCCGTGAGAATTGGGGATGCACCCGCGAAAGTGTGTAACAATAGTGAAGTACACATTTCACATCTCACTGCGCGAAATTCCCCATCAACCTCACGAACTCCGCGTATAACTTCACTCCATGGTGTAATGCACGAAGTAATAACGCGTCGATAATGTATCCCTTTTTGGGTGAGTCAGCTTTCGGCCTTGCGCCCGACAGGCCCGATTCTATACGATGTTGCCATTATGTAACACTCACCCGACTTCAACTCGATTTTCCTCATAGAAACAGACTACTGTATTTTTAGCATATCCGACGGCTTGCTCCAAGTGCAGACCACTCCTTATGAAGAAAATTCAATTTATCAAGGATACGACATGCGCTGGAACTTGTGAGGAAACCGAATAATTTCTCAGCGATGCTATTCACACATGTAGCGAATAACGAGTTCTACACTTCGCATTTCACGAACTTCGATTTTCACTGGTGTTTTCTCGCATAGTGTGGAATCTATTTGTGTCCTTTTAGCATTGTTAACAACAGTATCTGCCATTTCTGGGCCATAGACTATCTTCTCAAGAGTGAACGATTGGAGATTCAACGCTCGGTCGACAGTCGAGTGATTCGACTCGAGTCCCAGACCTATGAGAATCGAACAAGTACGTGTACATTCTTCACGGCTTTTTCGAACACCGAATGTTCGGCCACAATTTTCACTTACTGAGAATTGTGGCATACATGGCCTCCTCCGAGGTTGAAGTCGTTTCTCAGCTGAAGGTGCATACCCTTCAACCGGACTTGCGGATTCCTCCCAAGCACAGCTATAAAAGCCTCCTGGTGAGCTTGCCCAGAGCAAGTTGTTCCATCCTGGAGCGTCGCAATCCGAGACTTTGTAGTCGCCGTCTCCGCGTCACCCGACGGATGGCATTGTGTCATTGACACGAGACGAGACGTGACCGCCTAGCTGAGGCACTTGCTGCGTATTCGGTATGCGTGTGAGCTTGCTAGCTGAGCTGGGTCAACTCTAGAATCTGGCGACAACGCTTCTTCTGAAATTTATAATTATGAATTTGGCAAATAAACGATTAGCATTTCATCAGGCCACAACGACTTCAATCTCGAACTCCTCTTTCGCTGTGAGATAGAACGCCAGCAAGCATGTCCGATGCGTCGTATGAGAGTCACAACTCGCGAGTCTTTCAGTGAGAAGCTCTCACGGTTGCATCTACTCTTCCATCGGCGAGGGTGTCCATCCTTATCATATATTTTTCGATGAGTGCCAATGATCTGTCCGACGTGAAGTTGTGACAACTTAGTCGTCGAACTCAGTTGAACTAATAACCGCTTTCATGCACCGAGTAGCAGCATCAAAAACGCCGGAGGTCTACGAGAGGAGAATTTTCCCATTTGGTGTTTCCCCGACATCCTCGGTCCGAACTTCCAGCACCCATTCGAGCAGTAAGGAGACGTTTATATTCCCGAAGTGCCCCTTGAGCTTACAGTGCTGAATGCCTTCAGGTCGGCATAGCGTCAGACGATCAGCTTCCGCTCAAATCGACACTTCGAGGAAAGGAGCTGTCCAGTTAGTGGGAAAACCTCGAATCACAACCGGAGGTCACATACAGTGCGTTCCCCTCATAATCAGCCAATACGGAATCGACATATGGTCTTTTATGTGGAATCAATCGTTGATCTTACATAAGAAAAGCGCTTCAAATCGTGTGCTCTCAGGGTGGGAATTGACTATCCCTGGGCCAGCGAATGGATTCGCTCTTGGTAATCGAGCTCGGAGTTACTCAGGACACTGCTATGGAGAAGGAAAAGAGTAGAACCGTGAATATGTAGACACGCCTCAGTCGCTGCTCAGATATGGTCACTGGTGCGCTGCAAACGACATGCACCCACGTATTGCGCAAAGCCAACTGGGAAGCTGGAGTTTGTCGAATAGAGAATATGGAAGCCACTATTATCATCAACAACAACGGTGGGTATCTTACTCTGAGGCCAGAGGTCCTGCTATCATGTAGGTATAAAGTGAGACATAATCTCCGTTGGCCGAGTCTGGTGGCGAGTCGAAGCCAGCTCGACAGGTTCCGAGCCGATACAAATCTCATGTTTGACTAATGCTACCAAACGTTTGTTGTGTATGGAGTTGAACGGCCCTTCTATGTTGGACTCGCACCGCACTCCTGTATCCAGAGTTCTGCCGTCTTCATGGACTTTTCCAACCTATGGCGCCCTGCTCACGTTAGGTCGTCGTAGTAGTACTGCCCTAGCTCTCCGTTCGGGTGTATTTCATGATGAACCCACCCTTGCTCGCCGCAGATGGTAACCTGGCTTCTAACCCTTGCAATACTATTGATCATGCTCTGGCTCAGCGTAACAGAGGTCAGATATAACTTTTTGGAAGATGAACCATTGTAGCTGTGATTCGTTTTCCAAAGTCCACGTCCTTACTCCAGTGGGTGATGTATCACATGGAGAACTTTTCGATGATGGTTTCGGTAGAGTTCAACTTTAGCCACCGAGATTGGAAAGAGAATGAAACTTCAAGGGACTATTTAATGGCAATTTCTCACTGGGAAATTATCTGCTGCAGATCAGCTTCGCAGAGTGGAACTGACGAGACAGCTCAGTAGTGGGTTATCACTACTGAAGGGCTAACCACTGGAGTTTGAAGTGGCTTACCCAACTACAAAGGTGCAGTAGCAATATTAACACTATCTATGACTGTATCAGAATGAGCTCAATTCGGAAGTTGGTGTAATCGAGCTTCGCTGTTTGCAAAACCACATCGTACAAGAATTGATTTGTGTATAAGCGGCTGAATCAACCACACATCACCAATTCCAGAAAGTGGCGACATCTCGGGGGGCGCAGCGAGAAAGTCGCCACAGCGCGAAAGTTGGTAGAAACCGCTCTTCTAATCATGCAAGGACGGGTTTTACGGTTGGCACTCATAGTGGTAATTTAGAAATTAGGGTGAGTTCGGAAAGTTGATGTCTTCGAGCGGCTCAGTTTTTCTCTGCAATACACTTGCAGAACATAGCGTTGGCCGTTAGTGCCATCGAAAATTCAACTCCAATGTTTGAAATATGAAGGGTAGCAGTTTGAGTCCTAATCGCGAGGCTTAGTATCAACTTCTAAGATTAACCATAAATGCTCCTCTCAGTGAGTGGGCTTAGGAAAGTCCCCATAAACTCAGTGATAAATCATCCCAGCATCTCTTAGCCCGAATTTGCAACAGTCGTGAAGAGAGCATGCACAGCATTCAGGAAGTTAGAGTCGATAAGGCACTATTCCGCTTCTTATGGGAAGGGCCTCAGATCTGGTACGGTTTGGAGCGGTTGTTGTCATGCCGTGATAGTTAGGATGATGGGTATTGTCTGAGATGCTGAGAATTCCAGACGGACAGTACCCACCTGTCTTTACGTAGTATAAATTTTTCGAGCGAATATTGATTTTCCCACTCGTTTCTAATGTCTGTTGTTGAGAAGACCGCCACTGTAGAGGAGAAGACCGCCACTGTAGAGGAGAAGACCGCCACTGTAGAGGAGAAGACCGCCACTGTAGAGGAGAAGACCGC